ATTTCACCTCCAGACATCTCTTTCTAACCCCAGTCAAGAATGAATCTTCCCTGAGGCTTACTGAAGGCATCTTCCTCCCTACATCCCTATGGTTTCCACATTATTATTACTTTAAGAGAGTTTTGCCATAGGGCATGTGCACTCGCTGGAGAGGCAGAGATAGAAAGTGAGAAATCACCCCCCAGGGGGGACGGCCATGCTTCAATCCCTTCTCTTCTCCTGTTCTCCTCTCAGGATCTTGGGCACGCACACGCACCTGGCATGAGTTTTAAGCCACTGAGTGAACTTAAGTGGGATTCCAGTGACATAACCATTCCGCCATCTGCTGGTCCCTTCCGCATTCTGTTTACACTGACTATATTACATTGATTTCATTTCTCTAAATAAAAAGCCTATGATTGTCCTGAGCAGAAAAGTAATGCGTGCGTACGGTAAGGAAGCAAACAGACACGAACGAGAGGAAAAACACCTGTCTTCCAAGGACGGCCCTCAGAAACAAAAATACGGCATTGCCTTCCCGACCTTGCATGCAAACATCCCACCTACCTGTAACTGCCCACCCCCGGTGGGACTCCCCATTGTACACCCTTCCCCACTCCCCCACCCCCCCAACCGCAGCGGGCTCCCCCCACCCCACCGCCTTCTCTGATCTGTCTTTCCCCCTCTCAGGGCTCAAACCTCTCCTGCCTGCCAGACGCCTGCTCACGCTTGGGTGCGTCTTGGTTAGAAGATTAACCAGCAGGTGCCCCAGGACTTTTGTAATTAAGGAACTGCGTGTGTTCTTCCACAGCTCAGGAGCAACAGAGCCACGGGCAGACCCGGAAAGGATGACTGTAGGAAGGGAAGGGGAAAGAGGGAAGGAAAAAGGAAAAGAAGGAAGGAAGAAGGGACTCAAAGTACTGAGAGAGAACAGCAGAGGGAAGGGAAGGGAAGGAAGGGGGAAAGCAATAGCGGGGAGCTGGGTGCTCAGCGGGCGGCTGGCCAGAGTCACGCACCATGCCCGCTGCGCCCTGGTTGCACTCTCCCTGCCGCGGCGGTGATAGGGGCTGA